GTCCACTTGTGTTTCTGTTCAGGCTTCAGATGGATGCAACATTACTTACGCTGCAAAAAACTTATGCGCGACGTGAGTACCACACGAAGAAAATTGTTCTGCAAAAACCGATACACGTGATTACATCTACTGCAAAACGCATGCTATCTTTACTTATTCGTTACATTACTTCTGCAAAACTCATACACGACATAGGTACCACACGGCAATACGTACAATATACGACAATATAATATACGATAATAATCAATATAGATAATAATAGATCAATATAAATAGTAATGAATAAATGTAAATAGATGGATATATATGTGACAATACACGACAGCGAAAACTTATGCTTGTCATTGCCTTTTCAGAAAATGTTTCTACAATCTTCACTTACACGCAACATTATTTGTGCTGCAAAAACTCATACACAACATAGCACTAGACGAAAAGGCCTATGCTGCAAAAATCACATTCTAGCCATTACTTCTACAGCAAAGACTTGACCATACGTCCTTCCTGTTGCACTAATGTCGCGGACAAGTCAATGAGCAAGGGTTCTATAAGATATTAGGGTAGAGGTAATGACGGATATAACTTTTGAAGCAGAAGTTTCGTCGTGTAGCACTTATCTTGTGTATAAGTCTTTGCGGTAGAAGTAAAGTTGTGTATAACTAATGACTGCAGATAGTTTTGCACTAGGATTAGTATACATTTGAGGTGTAAGTTTTCGTGTAGCACTAATGTCACATATAAATTTTTGCTGTGGATTAATGTCGTTTATAGGTGATGACTGCATAGGTGTTTGCGGCAAAATTGACAAAAACGAGAACGATTTTGTGCAGCAAAAATTTCGTCACGTAGCACCAACGTCTATGCACTGAAAATAAAAGTAATGTCGTAGCACTCTATCGGTAGGAGTTTTGTTGTAGCACTAATGTGAAGCTTCTGCACATCAACCATAACTGAACATTTTCCTCTGCCCACTGTCATTTTGAACTCTCTCAGTCGCTTTGGTATTTGAGCCGGCGGAATATTGATTCTCCGCCAAAAATGCAAGTGAAATCCGGAAGGAGCGACAAGACCTGAAATTGCAATGTAATGGGATACATTTGAGAAAAAAAAAATCATGCTGAATATGGGCAACAATTCAGGAGATAAGGTCATGCCCAAAACTGGACTGGATATGGACATGTAGATAAACCACCACACTTGTCATATTTATCCGATATCATACTCGAGGCTCTATCGGAACGTACGCGCACGCGAGGCGAGGGATACAATTAGTTTCTCTCTTGCTCCAAGCTATAGGTCGCTTCAGCTGACAGGTGAGGTCAAGTCTGGAGCTCTCCTCCTCTGATTCCTCCCGGTGCTCCCTCCGCACACCATCTCCTCTCGCTGGGAGCCCTGCCCGTGGGCGGGTACGGAGCGCGGGCCCCATTTGTCCGACGCGTGCCAGCGGTCGCAGGGCGGATGCATTGTACTGTCAGAGCGACGCTCGGAGATGCCCTCCCCGCAGGTGCGCCACATTGCGCAAGCGCCGCGGGACGTCGGCCCATCGGCGCGCGCCGCAATCGTCGCCGTCGCGCGCCATCCTTGACACGCGGCCGGCGCGGCCGTTGGGCTCGGATCCATCAGCGCGGGGCGGCTGCGGCGAGCGAAGGCCGGTGGATCGCGCCATTACTGATCGGCCGCCAGCGCGTACCGGGTCCAGCACGCTGCCGGGCGCGGCGACGGCCGGTTACTGTCTGACGTCTGATTGGGCGTGGATGTCCTCATCTGGTCGGGTCGGTGATCTGAACGACGTCTGATTGGGCGTGGATGTCCTCATCTGGTCGGGTCGGTGATCTGAACGACGTCTGATTGGACGTGGATGTCCTCATCTGGTCGGGTCGGTGATCTGAACGACGTGATTGGGCGTGGATGTCCTAATCTGACCGGGTGGATGATCTGAACGACGTCTGATTGGGTGGGGATGTCCTAATCTGACCGGGTGGATGATCTGAACGACGTCTGATTGGGTGGGGATGTCCTAATCTGACCGGGTGGATGATCTGAACGACGTCTGATTGGGTGGGGATGTCCTAATCTGACCGGGTGGATGATCTGAACGACGTCTGATTGGGTGGGGATGTCCTAATCTGACCGGGTCGGTGATCTGAACGACGTCTGATTGGGTGGGGATGTCCTAATCTGACCGGGTCGGTGATCTGAACGACGTCTGATTGGGTGGGGATGTCCTAATCTGACCGGGTCGGTGATCTGAACGACGTCTGATTGGGTGGGGATGTCCTAATCTGACCGGGTCGGTGATCTGAACGACGTCTGATTGGGTGGGGATGTCCTAATCTGACCGGGTGGATGATCTGAACGACGTGACGGCTGGACAACCAGATCGACTTTGCCCATGTCCTTGGTCGAGCCGGCGCGTATGCACGCAACGTCACGGTCTGACGTTCCATGTCAATCAAGGCCGTTTGTGAACAGATGCAAGTGGGCTTGATAGGAAACGGCAATGCGGTCTACATTACAAGCATGTCCAAATCGGCGCTGGTATTAGTGACACCAATGTCAAAACGTAAACCAAATATAAATTAAGTGCGGTCAAGTGCCTTACTGATGAATAAGAAAAACCCGCGGACCCACGGGAAAACGTTAAAGGGAATGTTCCACATTTATATGTGGTTTTCACCCGTCTGAGCTGCACTCTCGCGAAAATGGGGAAAGGTATGCCGGAAGGATATTTCAAAGTCAGCTGGCATTCATGCCATGATAACGACATTTAACAGGGCCAAAGAATATGACTCTAAGCGTTCATATCTGGCGTTCGTGAGCGCGGTTTCCAAATATACGGCCGCCAATTGGCTGTCAATCAATGTTGTGCAAGGTACGATACCGTGATCAAACTACGGCACATCGAGGAGCATATTTACTAAACAGAGAATTGTGCTGTCTAGAGCAGTCTTTTCCACCAAAAAAGTATACCAATAGTTTTGAGAGCTTGTTTCATGATATCTCACGCCTTGTTCAACATCTTGAAATGTGAACGTTCCCTTTAATGAAAATCACCAAGGCGGAAACGACGAATTATAATAGAGCGGCATACTTTCTTCCCATTTCAGTTTTTGTTCGTCTTCCTTTGTCCCATTTTTTTATTTCTCTTACTTTTTCTAGGTTTCGCCTCATGTCGTTTGGCACGGCATGATTCAGGCATTCGTTGTGTCGCCTTTGAGATGAGAGCCTAGGTATTTGCCATTTTGCTTCAGATTCTGCCCCATTTCTACTCTGCGAATGTATTGGCAGTTGGTTGATAACTCTGGATGTGACGAAAATAGACAAAGCACTTATCCACAAAAGTGTTCATAAGGAACGCAGGGAGGTGTAATCATTCATACAACATCATTTGAAAGGAAAATGTTTTCTCGTTACCCGACCACGCGAAAACGATAAGTTTTAGACGAATCATTATGCGAAAAAGCAAAAGTTTTCGTCATTTTAAGGTTGTATTTGATAATGCACAATACCAATGTTTGAATGGTCGTTTTGGATGGTGAACTGCGTCTTCAGTGCTATAGGTGATAAATGCACAAAACACTGCAATATTGACAGCAACTTGCTCTAAGGGATGGTGAAATGAAGCTTTTGGGAAACAATACCGAGGCACGTCTGCTTCTACCCATGCTGGAAACGTTGACTGCAAACCGGGGGTATGCTTTTTCCTATTCAGCCGGTGGTTCAGACCCCGCAGAACGTTGGGAAGAAAGTGGACCAAATCCGGGAGTAAATCAGTTTTTGTCGTATTTTGGTGATTGCTTTCATCATTTTTCACTGCCCCACTCCCACCTCCGACTTATTTTGCGAACTAAACCTGCCGCAAACCCTACGTGGATATTGTCTTTAACCAATTACGCGTCACGCACTTGGAGAGACAAGAGCAAGCATATCTCTTCGCAAACCGAGCACGTTCGCTTCGCATCATGACCGGCCAAACACATCCCCGCGATACATACAACCCGATCCTCCCGTCTGCATCCTATCAGTCATCAGTCGCGATAATGCCGTCGCAGCTCCCCGCCGTCCGTTCACTGTTCCGCCAGCACACGTGCCCCCTGCCAGTGAGGCCAGTCAGCGGCCGGCGCCGAATCCTTGGCCCCCAAGCGCCGCCCCACCGCCGCCGCCGCCGCCGCCGTCGCGCGCCGGTACTTGCGGTAGCGGGTACTGGGTCGGCACCGGCGTCGGGAGGTGGTCGCCCTGCGCGCGGAAGCCGTCCACGCCAGCCGTGTATGTGACGGTGCGCGTGATGCCGCTGGGGTCGACGTAGCTGTAGGAGCCGGCCACCTCCATGTCGCCTGTCTCCGGCTCGGTGCCCGGCTCGAAAATGCCTTCCTCGTTTTGGCTTATGCCGTTCGAGGTCGTATACCTGCCGGCGGCGGCAGCGGCGGTAGCTTAGATAGGCCGTGGCACAGGCCGGCTCTGAACACTGAGATAGTTCGATAATGGGTAAATCAATGCATATGTTTTTATCGGAACGGAGCCAAAATTGAGCGCTTTCACGGCATAACTGGCGGCCTTAACAAATAGATAACATTGCATGTCTTGACACAAAGGTTACCGCCAGCTCTTTAACGCTATAAAAGATGACAAACGCAAATTGAACACAGGAATAGGGCAAAACTAAGAAATGAGTAACAAACATGGCAAACAATTGAGCTGGGTCACCAATACAGGCGGGAGCGCGTGGCCCTCTCTAACATCCAGTCCGTGCAGCCCCACCCATCCGCGAGCATGCAGCGGCGGGGGGGGGGGGGCTGTCACACCTGTAGACGTAGTTGCCAAGGCCGCCGTTCGGCTGGTTCTCCTCCTCGATGATGGTCGCCTGCGCGTCCGAGCCGGAGATGTAGGAGATGGTGTTGAAGTTGTCGTACTGCGGCCGGGCGTCGGCACCGAGGCCGCAGGCGGCGGCCGACACCATCAGTAAACACTGGGGATGAAGCGAGAAGTGACGGCTGGGGAGGCCCAATATCGAGCCCGTCTGTCAGGCCGCTTGTCGGCGCAGACCCGTCAGAAAGCATCACTGGACTTAACAATACCGGCTGTTTGACTTGTCAAGTTTGATTTGGAGGCCACTAAACTGACGTCGAAGAATAACCGAGAATGAAGGCACATCAAAAGTTGGGTCCGAGATTTGCCCAATTTTGTTTGAAAAAGGAACAAACAACAGAAATACAGCCTGACAGAATGGAGACAGGAGCCTGGCCATCGTACGTGACATGGAGCTGGCGATCGCCGCCTCGTGTGGTGACAGGTTCACACGTTTAACTGCTGGCATGGGGGTGTAATGGGTCAATGTGGTGGGTGTATCTACCGTGGCTTTACTCCGATTTTCGCGTTAAAAATTCAATGCTACCTTGTTGGTCTTTGTTTTGGCGTGCAATAACAACATACCGAGGCAATTCGTTACAGGTCGGTGTTTGCAATATGTGTATGCAATAGCTTATATAAGTATTTATATATATATATATATATATATATATATATATATATATTGTCCTTTTAACACTAGAGTACACCACTCATAATTGACGGTAGCCGACCGGAACAGGTGTGGGGCAGAGGCAGCATCACTATGTGTCCCTCGTAACCCCGTTCGATTGGTCTTAGGTAGGTGGATCGCAACCTTTTCCACAACAAGCATACGGTTTCGCCAATCGCGCACCCAGCTCTCAAAACACCTAACGTCATCTAACGGCTACTCACGAAGCTGGTCGCCATCGCGTCGTACGAAGATGCCGGCGATGCGCCGCTGACGGTACCTGACGCCTCGGACACTGACGTGTGGGAACTGCACGGAGGGGTGCTCACTTTAAGTAGGCTCCGCGCAGGAGATGCCGCTTGACACGAGGGCTGGTGGTTTCGACTGCACAATGGAGGCCGGCAGGGGCCGGCCCATTGTTTGTTCAACCTCCCTAGTCAGCTGAACTGGTGTGGCCCGTGTAGCAGCAGCCACCAGGGGTAGAGACGGGCCACACGATAGCTTTTTAAAAAGATTTTATCCGAATGTTTTTGAATGGATGGGCTTCTGGGACCAGAGCTCAAGTTAAGCGGTACTTGTTGAGTGAGCACTGGCCCTTACCATTGATTCGCGCAACTCCAGTTCATCGGCAAAATTTAGGGGAGAAATGTATCATGCCGGAATGTCTGACATGGTCCGACCTATCTTCTGACGTCATCTGACCTTTAGCGCGGCCGCTGCCACCGGCCGCAGGCCATGCATGTCAAGGGCAAAAAGTGAGCGTAATAAAGCGACTCGAAAAAAGAAAAAAAAATAGCGACTTGAACCCGCCCGGCCACAGGTGGGTGGATCGGAAGGCAGACGCTCTGACCAGCTGAGATAACGGAACGGGCTTCAAGGTAATCAACAGGACCTTCAGGGCCAGGGAATGTTCAAGACCCCAAAATGCGCGGACATTCTCGGGCACTTTGGACCCAGTTGACTTTGAGGCTATTTCGCCTCAACTGGAATATTAGCATTCTTGGCCAGCCGCGCAGGCTTCGCCTCATTCCACACTGCTGGTTCAGTGTCCTAGAGTCCTGGACGTCTTGAGGGAGTCATGGCCCATCTAGTCCACGATGGCGGCAGCAACAGGACGGCCGAGTATCTGAAATAATATCCGAGACAGTCAGAAGGCGCAAGAAAAAGCCATTTGGCCATCTTGTAGGTAAGAATTCCAAGCAACCTGAATATTCGTCGTGTTCTTGCATTCAACAGTCCTTCCCTAACAACCAGTAGACAGCTAAGCGGTGTCAACCGTTCCAGGAACCTCAACCCAAAAATGTTGGAAGGGAGTCCATCAAGGTCCGAAAGTTACCATAAATTCGAAGTATAGATTTTAACCAAAAGGCTGTGTCTCGGTGTGGATGTAGGAATGTCGCGAAAGGTGGAGGCCTTTCCAATGCATGGAAGTGGTATACAGGTAGGGATCCAGGGTTTTGTCAGGGGTGGACCACGCTTCATTGTGGTAATCCCTAGGACTTGGTGCCCGCCCGCCTTTCACAAAGAATTCCCCGGTGTCGGCCACTTTATTTTGTGACTCTTGTTTTTTTGGTAAAATGTCTTCAACCGGGATAGTCCGCCGAATTTAGCTCGCTTTACTCGAAACGTCAGTTTTTTAGTTTGCATGTTAAACTTGATGATTTATGGTCAATTGTGGCTCGCCTGAACCTTGATGCATCTTGAAAATAAAAGTTGTGTAGACGGCGGAAAGAGGATTTTGGTGACCCAAGGAAGGCGATGGTCCCTTGCCCCTCCCTCTGGATTCCCCACTGGTGGTTCATGAATTCTAATTAGTACAATTACAAATCTATCTATTCTTCAGTCGCACTGTAGGGTCGAGGTACGGAAGAGCCCAATTACTGAGCTTGGTTATTCCTTCCGTATTGCGGAAATCGGGCATTGGTGAATGGTAAAAAGCCATCGCTTAGACTTAGGCATCGGGTACAAAAAATGTGATCAGTTTCATGATTTCTTTTCATCCAAGCGACCAACTGACCAAGGTTTGCGATGAACCCTGCGTACGGCAACCCCATGTAGCCCCAGATAAAAAGTCAGCCGATCACAAAAATCATGTTTTAGAACCACGCTCCAAGCCATTGATCCATCCATTGAGCCATGGTTCCATCCATGGACTGCCATTTAATGTGGGATACGGACTTCATACATTTGTCCCATTCGTCACAACGCCAAGCGAAAGTCGTGGGGACGTCATTGTCAACCTGAAACGGAAGAAACCTTCAATATTTTTGATATACGCACAAAGGCACGAAATGCGTCATCAAATTTTGTCAGTCGGGCCCCACATTGCCTAAAAGGGGGTCCTGTATCGGCAATGGGTCCAGTCTTGCTCACGGGAACAGTTGCTGAAAAAGGAGAGGACCAGTCACGAACACCGGGGGCTTATTTGTTGGTCCAGACTTCTGAACAATGCAAGTCGATATGAAAGCTTATGCTGAGAGCAACGTTATTAAGATGATGGAAGTGGCGCTTGAACATTTAGGGGCCGCCAGTGCGGAAGGGAACTCTCACCCCATCTTTAGCTAAGGGGCACGTTAAAAGAGGGCGACGCCAGGGTATCTGGAAAATTATTGGACCCTCCCACGTTGAGGAAACCCCCCAAAATAGATATTGCCCGCGTTACGTCCGGACCCGTTCGATTCAGTCTAGGACGGTTACCCCGATTGTCGTACAGCTGCTCGAGCACCAGCCCTCGTCTGTCGTTGTAGTCGCAGTGGGATCCATTCTAACATTGCTGAGCCCCTTCCGATCTATTTTGACCCGGTCCTATCCCAACCTTTCCTATGGAGTGTGGAAATATATTAATATAGCGCGTGATGCTATCTCCCAATATTCTTTTCAACATTTTGCGTGAATTTTTGCATGTCGATGACGTCAACGACAGCTTTTGAGAGATTTCATTCATACGAAGGTTTGTTGTCCGTGACTTCATCATCCGCCGACATGCCTCCGTGATCCCGGCTTCCATAGACAGTTTAGACCGTTTGAAATCGCAGCAACGTTGGAAAGTACGGTACAAGGGTCCAGTCCATGTTCAGCTGAGGAGGGAGGCTTCAGCCGCGCTTGGTTGAGCTCGAGCCCTCCAAAGTTTGAGAGATGATTAGGCCAAATCCCGAAAGACGCCCCTTTGTTGCCAATTTTGACGGTCAGGTTTTTATTAGTTTTTTCACGAACCTATCCCCAATAATTATTAAAAGCACACCCCTGACACCGTACTACTGCTTCAACATCCGTTCATGGTTATTTTGCATCCCAGGTGACCGTCATAAAAATTATGCCATGAGTGGTAAAGAAACCCAGTTTGCATGGTGATGACGTCATCGTCAGCTGACACGTTATGCACTAATCCGCACTCCCTTGAGGCAACGCACCGTGATGATCTTGCCTTGCGTGGTCACCAATAGCACTAGCGGTGAGGGAGACACGATTTTGAGGCGGATACAGGTATTAACCGACATGTAGTAGTGCATTAGCGCAATGGTGGTATAAACAACATGATTTTCTAAAGCGATATCCTTGGAATAAGGTATCGTCTATATTTCAAGAAAATCATGTGATTTAAACGTATTTTTTGGATTGCCGGAAGAGTTAGCGGTGGCGTCTTGAAGAGTGCTGCTTAGAGGAGGTGAGGTGAGCGCAAATTTTGGGTTCCACTTCAGTGGCGTAAGCAGGGCTTTGTGGTCACGACCCCATGTAGGTGTTGGGAAGGGTAGCCTACTCCCCAGGGGTGTAGTTTACTATTCAGTTTAGGGCTTCAGCCCCCCCCCCCCAAACTTGGGGCTGTGAGCTTCAGGCTCCAGCTTGCCATCTGTGGGAAGAAATTTAGCCAAATCTGGTGAGATACATGCGCTTAGGCGTATTTTGCGGGCAGGCTAGGTCATTTTTCACTTTTCGGCCCACCATCACATTTTGTGGAACCATGCCGCTGCTTCTGCTCGCAAGACACATTCCCGGAGTGTTGGCGCTCATAAAATTTGCCGATGTGAATGCCCACGCTAGGAAGACTACGTGAACTACGTTTAAAATGACCTACGCTCGGAAGACATACGCTTGGAAGCCATACGCCCTGAAGAAAAAATGCGAGGAGACCTACCAAAAACATACCGAAAAACCCATGCCTTGAAAACCATACTCCCGGAAACCTCTCCTTGATTACTTTCTTGCCATGTCCTTTTATCGGGTCAGAATATTCCAGTAGCAAGGGGCTGCGGCACACAGTAAGTGGCCAAAGGGGGTTAGGAATGTTGCTAGAGTTGAACACTAGTGATCACGAACATCCACATGTTTAAACTAATGCCCATTTGTCTACAGCTCTCCGCGTCCGTAAGGTCATTCCATAGTCCTGTCCTGTCCGGTCCATTCCCGTCCTTTCGCGTTCGGCCGTTACCACACCCAAGCTTTACCTTTTCGTTCCAACAACGGTCCGGTCTGCTCTGGCGCGGTTCGGCCCACTTCGTTGCATTCCGTCCAGATTCGAACTGAACCTCTCCAGCTCTTCAGGCCCAGCTCAACAATGTCTTGTCCGGTAACATCAGAAAGCCGGTAGACTGACCTATCCAGGTTTCTTTCCGTCTCAAGACCCCTCTGCGTCCACCTGGCCTATTTCGGTCACCTCGATCATTTCGGAACCCTGATCCTCTCAGGATCAGGGGCCCCTCAGAATTTGCTCAGAGGTCCTGAGTCACCCAGCCCCTTGATCGTTGCAAGAGCCTTTAAAACCCCAGCACTATTTAAAACTCTGGTTTATTGCACACAGCCTGTCAAACATACTCACAGCCATACAGAGACTGTCATGGTGCGATCATTGACACAGTTTATAGAGCAGCCGACAGTGCACACCGCTTGCTTATTGCACGCATCTAACATTCCAAACAGCATATTGGTTTCCGTTACTCTTGCTCCGTGCTCATGTGCTAGTTGTCCGTTCATTCTAAGAAATGGTCGTTCCCAAAATATTTTAACGTCATGCCAAGGAACAAAGTAGTGGAGTGGTGCACCCACTTTACCACATTGGTCACTGAAGGGGTGTGCAGCTGCCCGTCTTGCAAGCACGTATCTTGCATTTGAGTGATATCTGCGTTATTCTATATAGCAATGCTCACAATTATGTCGACGATGCGATTTCAAGAGATGGGACATGAATTTTTGCCCATTCATCACCAAATTGACTGTTAATCTTTCTGCCACGGAGCATTTTTGGGCGGTAGGTATATACTTATTTTATCCTGACAGGTGGAGATGCTTACA